ATCGTCGTAATAATTCAGTCTCCCCCTTACTCCACTGCCAACCGCAGCCATAAAACTCTGCAAGTGTCACTTACAAATCCCATTAGACTGTAAGGGTACAGTGCAGCGTAAATGACAATGAGCCAAGACAAAATGCGAAGGAAGCCGTTAGGTGCAGCACTCCTTAAAAAGAGGAGTCAGCCAGCTGCCAAAAATGGCGCTCGCATGCATCGTAAAGTGAACTCGCCGACTCGGGTTGAAAAACGCGACTCCCTGCTTAAGCTCTTAACTGCGTGCAGCTGTAGGAGGGCAAACCGCTCACAGGAATGTCTCTGTTACGCCGTATAAAGCAGAACCCACACAGCGCAGTGCCTGCGAGCCGGCCCCTCTGAGACATGCTGAGCCGCTGTGCATATATGCTGAGGGTGCGTGCAAACATTGCATGGGGTCTCCGAGTTGCATTTTGAATGAAAGAAAAAAAAAAATAATACATGCGCATGCGACATATGATCTAGGTCAGGGAGGGAAATATCATGGCCTCCTGAGTTTGCTTCTCGACGTTATTGTGCATCCAGCTTGCAGATGCCGCGGCTCTCTGTCAGCTGTCGTCTTACGTCCCGATTCTTGAAGGAGGAGAGGAAAAAAAAAAAAACAATGGCAACAAAAGTGGCTTTCCAGTTGAAGCGCAAGTCGTGGTGATGATAGATCAACAAGAATGACAAACAAGAGGTAATCAGCGGTTTTGCCGCTAATTAAAAGGCCCTTTAATCACTTCATTATGATCACAAATGTGGCCCTAGGTGTGTATCATCATAAAATGCAAATTGCTCATTATGCAGATTCCGGTTAGTATTCTCATCTCTTCTTGACTGGCGTTAAAGAGAGCCCCCACCTCCCCCGCCCCCAATGCCCACGAAAAAGTGCCATTCTTTGGTGCTTACAGGCTGATAGGCAGTGGCCTCATTCACACTCTGCTGCAGCCCGTCCTCATTGTGTCCCGCTCTCAAGGAGCGGAGTAGGGGTGGAGGACAGACGGGCTCTCCAGAAGTGGATGCCTGATGTGGATGTATG